TCTTCGGGGCTCCGATTGTTGTATACTTGTATACTTCTGGATTAATCCGCTGCCAGCTTTACCAGCCTTGGCTAGATTTGCTTGAATCTTTATTTGGTCGGCTATACTCCCAGGAAGACTGTTCGCTTTGTATTATTTTGCAGTGTATCTTGGGTCAGTTTTCTCTTCTCTTCTCAATGAATCGGTGGTCGATGGGGTGTTGAAAGCTGAAAAGCCTTCTACCATGGAATGGTGTCCTCACCTGGCATGCCTGTTGCCGGGCGTCTTTGGATGTTCCCTTGAGGGGGACACCTCTCAGACGCCGTTGGCCAGCAGCACTTTAGGGATTAGCTCTTACGACCTCTGACCATCGACAGGAGAGGGGTACTAGCCCCCTGACTTACCAAAACCTGGTTGTGCTGAGCTCTCTGTCTAGAGAGGCTCAGGACACGTCCACCATCTTTCGGCCACCAACCGGAAGATCTCTATACAGGCTGAAAATTTTAAGAGCTTCCTATAACAATCATTTTACAAGTGCAGAAAGCTACTTAATTCATAGTGTTATTTTTTCCTCTCCAAAATATAGATTTGTGGAGAGTAAGAAATCTTCCAGAAATCTTCCAGGACCACATAAGCCTGGAACTGTAGGTCTTGTGTTCTTGGTTGATAGAAGTCCTTTCAAGAAATACTCTTTCTAAAGGGTGCAAGTACACATCAGCATTTGTTGCAGTCCCCTACTTATAAACCTAAATTCTCACTGTTTTGTCTTGTAGCCTTTGCCAAGAGAATATCATTTTGGTAATAATTTTGGATATGTAGTAGCATTCAAATCCTTTGATCAAAAAGAATGGAAAAGAGTTACAGTTCCTCAACCTGATATTGGTCGATATGTGCATAAGGATGACTCAATGCCTCCTTCATCAAGATACCAAGTGAAAGTGAGAGCATTTAACAACAAAGGGGAAGGACCATTTAGCCTTACTGCTATTATCCATTCAGCAGAAGATGGTAAGTAGAAATCGTGTGTTATGTGTATTCCAATGCACTCGCTTCCAAATTTTGCTAAACAGACAGGTCCTTAATGTAATAACTGCAAGCTCATGTTCCATTTCAATTATATGGAGCATTTCCAGTTGGATTAGACCACTCATTTTAGCCTATCTGTTGGAAGCACACAATGCAGACATAGCAAAGAGATTAATGACATCTGGGTAAGCCATTTTTATGGATGAGCTGAAACCAGACCTGGAAATGAACAGCTGGATCAGATCAAATATGGGATTTATAGTCCCTGAGAGTAACTTTTCCAAGTTTTGTAGATACACTACCTCTTACCTTAATTTTTGTCCGTCTTGATTAGAAGTGATTGATAGACTGATCTTTAATGAACATGTCTAATTTCAAGTTACTGAGGTTCATTTTTAGTTCTCATCAGTCACATATTTGCAAAATTATTCACAGAAAATCTGATCACACTTTTTATTATCATAATTAGATCACACATTCTTTGTATTGATGAGAAGTACCTTATATTGATCTTCAGATAGATTCATATATTGAAAAGCTTTGGGGAACCAGTTAGTTATGATCACCATGTGAAAATACACTGTCTTTGTTTTTTTCGATAACATATTAGAATTTCCAGTGTGATATATTCACTATTATTGAAAGTTAATTTTAAACAATGATGTCCCATACAAGATGCTTCAGGTTTCCTTGACATTGTTCATCCATGCTGAAACTGTATTTCCCTGAACAGTGCCTGTTTTGATGCATAGTTGAATGGATGCCCAGTAAGCAGATTAGTTATATGAAAGGTTTCCTGAGCTTGTCTGTTGCAACTTGTTACTGAAGATTCACAAAACAGAATTGATCTTTGTTTGGAAAATGAAATCCTTCGTAGACACTATATAGCCTTATGCTCACAAATGTTAACTACTTATTTAATCGTAAGCTTAATTTAAGTAAAAATATTTGTCCCATCTTTTCCCCAAGACTGGAACTCAAGTCAGTTTACAATATCTAAGAAATTGTAGTTAAAAACATACAAAAGATGTGATAGAATTACATTATGAACCATGTAAAAATATAGACTCTAAAAGATTTTAAAACAATAAACAAAAATATACATAACATTTACAGTCATTTTAATCCTAATTTTAGTTGTAGTAAAACATGGAACTATTGAGCCAACATGATTTTATATTCATAGACAGCAATTCTCTCTTTCCAGCAGCATAATAGAGAACACTCAGCTTTTGTTTGTAGGTATGTCCAGCAAGAAACACAACCAAGATTCACAATTTGCCCCAAAAACAATAATTAATCCCAGTTAGAATTAATGGAAAGTTGCTAAATCAATCTTTTTTTTTGTAAATTCTACTGATCTGATTAAACAAAACTAGGATTTGTGGAGAATACATGAACAAATTAACAAATTTGCTTGTAGTATACATCATTCATAGTATTTGACATAATTTTTACTAATTTTATTCATTTTTTTTCAGCTCCTTCTGAAAGACCTAGAAATGTGCATGTAAAAGTCAGATCATCCACTGAAGCTGTTGTTTCCTGGGAGCATATTTTCAATCTAGCTGTCACAGGATATGAGGTGAGCTTTCAAAAACCCATTCATTGAGGCATATAACAAAGTACTGACAGCTGTGTACTTAATGCGAAGCAAGGAAGTGCAGCAAATGATGTCACATTTAGATTTGGTTTTGGAATGAAATAGATATAACACAAGGTTATGGAATGATAGGAACTTTGGGGGTCTCTCTTTTTCTGTGTATGTGTAAATATAAATCAGATTCAATTTGGAAAATATTTAGCCATGATTAGTAAACTGAGACCGTTGTACTTTGGCCAGATCATGAGAAGATCTTGGTAGCATAGCCACAAGTGCTAGAATGTAACCAATAGTTCTCACAGACCTGAATAAGGTAAATAATTCTGCAACCAGCTTCATGCAACAGTAGTGTGATACTAACAGTTGAAAAGTAAAGCAATAAAAGAAAGTAAAAAAAAGATGCCTAAGTTACAGGCTGAAGAAATGCATGGAGGTAAGCTACAAGGTCACATGCTCCTCTGTCATGCTTCACACATGGCATATCCCTCAAGTGATTCTGTTCCTGATGTGATTATAACAATTGAGTAACCTTTAACAAAGCTATTGGATAAAGCAGGCCATCACGAACACTGGGCTTTATTTCTCAAGAAAGCTGCACCTGCTATGCTTGTTTGCACTACCTTTCCTTCTCTTTCACTTGTCTTCATTCTTTGTTCTTCACATTGTGCATCACCTCTGATGTTTCTAACATTTTTATCTTTCTTAACTTTCTAAAGATCACAACAATATTTTAGGAGTCATGTATCACCTTTGACCAGGCTAAAATGTCCTATTACACTGATATAGGGCAGTTCTACAGACACTATATTTCAGTTCAAAGCTGGTTCAAGGGGAAGCAGGTCCAGAAGACATACACTTCCAACTCATGCTGCAGTATGCATCAAGCCAGAAACAGTGCAATAAAAAATTCCCCAGAAAGCCCAGAACAAGTCAGATAATGCTCTGCAACTTATCAAAGTATTTGTCACACAGGGTTCAAAACCCGGATATACTCTCATCAGCTGCAACACATCTTAGTGACACTTTCCGGTGGCTGTCTTGTAAAGGATACTATGCTCCTGAGTCCAGTTCTGATCCACCAACCAGCAGATACTCTAGCGACCATTCTCACATTGTACCAGTTCCTGGAATGTTTTTGTTGGTTCTGCACAGCAAAAAAAAATGTTTGTTTTCCTCCACATGCAAACTGCATTATAGTGTCTGTGTTGAAGCACCCTTAGTTTGAAACTTTGAATATTTGGTCAATGTTGCAAATGCATTCATACAAAGGAATCTGAACAATTGCTGAGAGAAATCTGGGATTGGCTAGTCCTTGCCAATTTCTGAAAGCTCATTTTGCTTAGACAAATTCACACTGTGGTTAAAAATCCTCAAAAGACAAGTGTACTGTCTTAGATGCATCTCTAACCAGTTTGTTTGAACCTTATTATGTACAGAAGGAGAAAGTGTTAGAAAGCAGATCACAAATCACACCATCAGAGAAGGCTCTCTTCCATAGACTTTAGGCAGTCATGTATCAAGAGAGACACTCTCATTTATCAAGCTTCTGAGCTAATTACTGTTTTGAATGTCATTCCCATCAACAGAAGTTAATTAGCAACCAGTTCAGCCCTTTTAAAACATTGTTACTAATTGTTCACATGGGACCTAAGTTAAGTCATGTTGCTGTATTTAGCACTTTAAAACTTCAAAGTCTATTTTGAACAGAATCCTTTTATTGTAATGAAATTTGAGTCAAATCTGAATTTTCCATTCTCAAACATAATTCCTCATTGCTTTTGTAACCACACAGTTGTTAGAAAGCATTCTTTGTAGAAATCAGTTCTTCGTGGGTCATATAACCGCATTTCTTCACACATACAGATCCGGTACTGGTCCCACCGTGAAAAGGAAGATGCTGCAAATAAAGTACAAGTGAGCAATTTGAATTTTTCAGTAAGGCTAGAAAACCTGAAACCTGCCACACAATACAATGCAGACGTGAAAGCTTTTAATACGGCAGGCTTTGGACCTGCCTCTCAATTATTGAGCTTCACGACGGAAAAAGCACGTAAGTAAAGTAGCTTTGATTTGTTATATTATTCTGTGCTCTAAAAATCATTTCTTTTATGTGTTTATTTATTATTTTCATGGTATTGACAGAGTGCTTAATTGGAGAAGTCAAAAATAAAGTAATGAGAAGTATTTGTATATGAATGTCAGTGGTATGCTTTTATTATTAAAAAAATATAGATGTCAGCTTTTAGAAATGTTCCATTTGTGTTATGGCACTCAATTTTGTCAGGCTATCTGATATTATAAAGCCTTAACGAGTTCTGTAAGTTAGAGAACATGTAACCCTGCCATTAAAATGGTTCTGCCTTACAGTTACATCAAGATGTTGGTGCTGCTTTACAGTTACATCAAGATGATTCCGGCTTTCATGGCTGGAATCACTGGATTGCTGTGAGTATTCTGGGCTGAAACATCGGGAGAGAATACTTCTGGAACTTGGCCTTACAGCCCGGAAAATTCACAGCAACCCAGTTACATCACAATTTATTTTTAAATATATACTCTGCCTTGATCAGTAAAGTTTGAAATGGGTGGCAATCATTTATGATCAACTGCAACCATAACCTCTTAGAAATAAGAAATGTGTGAAACATTGAAGGAAAATTCACAAACAAGCTGTAATTAACAGTAATAAAAATTAATATTACTTCTTGGTATGGATGTTTTGCAGCTCCAAGGCAGCGACCAAGAATAGTCAGTGTTGAAAGAAATGGTTCAAAGTTCCTCATCAAATGGGACCACGTTAAATCACAGTCTAACGAATCTATTGTGAAAGGATATAAAGTAAGTTTTGCATAAAAACAATTTGGATTCTCTGTTTAATTTTTGGCTATTCTGGTGTGTCAATTTTATTTTTCTCTCAATGGATCACAAGTCATTTAAAAGCAGGGCAACTATTAAGCTATTTCTCATTAGGTTTTACAGTTACAAAAAAGAGCAATTTCTAAGGTATACGCAGCTAACAGTGTGTGTGTGTGTGTGTGTGTGTGTGTGTGTGTATAATCTTAAGATCTAGTCCTCATTATTGCCTTCAAGTGGTACTATTTTCTAATTCCTAGAACTTGTTACTAGATATGGTTCTTGTCAAGACATTAATAGGATTACATGACATAGTAGAGAAGAATACGTTTAGCTCACATTTTAATATTAACTTCCATTATTTTGCACATTCAGGCCAATATGCCAGGGGTGCTATTATGTGGGCCTCCATAAATTGTGGGACTGCAGTTTCCAGCAGTCCCTTGCCAGTGTAGCCAATGTTGGGGAATACTAAAGAGTAACAACTTATGGAGAAACACATGATTCATCTTCTTGCAATCGTCAATCAAAACTCCTTTGTGCTTCTCCAGATTTTGCAGTGGGGTTCCCTAGTAAACAACAACATATTTATTTATTTATTTATTTATTTACTGTATTTGTATACCACCTTTCTCAGCCAATTGGTGACTCAAGGCAGTGTATAACATACAAATTTGTATTGAGTAAGCAAAATCATGCATGTTAATTCTGCAGTGTAAATTCACCCTAAGACATGCATAGGATCTCCTGTCTTTTTTCAAGTGGCTAAACGATGGCAGCAGATACCATTTTTCTAAAATTGTATGAAGATGGTAATTCTGAACCTTTCCTTCTTTCATTAGGGACTGCTGAAGTGTATAATCAGTTTACTTATCTTAATATTCCCATTAGAACAAATCAATTTGATTTGCTATAGTTTAATGAAGAATGTTCATTTCATCCTTTAGGTATTTTAATGAGTTGTTAAAATAAATACCACAATCTTTATTTTTGTTCTTGAGGTATAATGTGTACTTATGTTTGATGCCATATTATATTTTGTCTTTGAAAGGTGCTGTACCGACCCGATGGCCAATTTAATGGCACACTGTTTAACACTGGTAAACACTTTATAGAAGTTCCTGCTCCCCTTACAGGTCAATACATTGTTGAAGTTCGAGTACACAGTGAGGGGGGAGATGGAGAAGTAGCTCAAGTCAAAATTCCAGGTGTGTGGACTTTAAAATGTACCTGACTTTGAAATTTCAAACTATCGATTTCCTTTTCTCCAAACTATATGCCATTGTCATTCTAATAAAATTATTGCAATATGAATGTCCACTGTTTTATATTGAAATTTATTTTTTTATTTTATGTACCATATTTATACCCCTCCCTTCTCACCCCATCGGAGAGTTAAGGCGGCTTACATATATAGGCAGCAATTCGATGCCATGTGGACATACATAGTAAAATAAACATATACATTAAAACAATCATTAAAAACATACTAAACCTTAAAGCTACTTATTTAAAGTCACATAATCCAATGTCAATCAAATTGAGTTGCTCTTCAATAATTAGAAGGATAGATAGAAAATAAAGCTTTCTCCATCTTATTATGTTGTTTTGCAGATATAACAAATTAATCAAGATTGATTGGATTTTTTTTTAAAAAAAAATTGGATCTCACTTGTCATAGTGGCAACCAGCAAGTTTTTGCTCATTACTGAAGTGGTGTTGGGCAGGGCTCCAGAGCAACATGGGAGAGGGGAGGGGGAAAGGAGGCATTTCCCTCTCCCTTCTCCGGTCACACTGGTGCCCTGATTGACATCATTCCAGTTTATGAGTGGACAGTAGCCATGTTGTGTCCTCTGGCACTGCTACAACAAGAATGGAGGGGGAAGAATGAGTGCTAATTCTGATTTGCCACCCCTTTGGGATTGTGGGTCAGTGCAGATGAGCCATATGTTGAGGTAAATGCAGAGACATGTTTTTACCTCAATAATTGATTTCTTTATTTGATGTTCTGCTCTATTTGAAGACTACAGTAGGGTATGGCAGGAGGTGTAGAAATAACGTGCTGGCTGCCTCTGCCTTCCTCCTGGGATTCGAACATGTTTTAGCTTTCCTAGAAGGTACATCACCTTGTTTCTTGCACCTCTGCCCAGAGTTTATGCTCCTGTACTCTTGTATCTGTCATGATCAAGAACATCAAGGATGCATGATATCTTTGTCACATAGCATATTTTGCAACCTTTTGTAAAAATTACCTGGCAGTTACTCAAACTCAGCTTTAGGGATTTGCATTAGGCATTTCAGGCAACAACAAAGACATGAATGATAATGATTCAGTTTATGTTGCGTTGTTAGTCTTTATAATAGGCCACTCCTCCATTGCTAACAAATGCTTCTCTAGAACAAAGCTCTCCAGATGTACTCCTGACCTATATATCTGTTCTAAGGAAAGCCATAAGAATCCCACTTCCTCAAGAATATCAGATCTCTCCTATATTAGACCTCTTCAGGCATTCATTAACCACTGACATTGCTGTAGACAGTAATATGTTTGAAGACGGAAGCAGTCTATGGTTAGCATTGAATCAATGTGGCCTCCACGTTTTATGCAAGAACATTATTTGGATTTAAGATATTCTGTTTAGGCCTATGAGTCCCACTTACATATGGTTAATTTATTTTGCTTTGCTAGGCGTTTCTTTACATAAATGACTTGTGACTAATAATCCAAAACATAATGATTACTCTCTTAAATATAATTCAAACAGTAAGTCCGGTAACAGCTTTTTCCTGTTGAATATGCTCCAATTAAAGCCTTTAAAAATAATGATGCATTTAAAATGTCCACAGAAGAAATTGTTTTGTAATGTCAGCAAGCCAGACAAGATGTGTGGCATTAGGAATTTATTGCTAATTTTTCATCTGTTTCAAACTGTATCCCAAGTTTCTCCCAAAAATGGGACACTAAGAAAATAATATATGAGCTGCAACAAAACATGAAGAAAGGAAACTATGTATTTTTATGTTTTTACACATAGTGTTTATATAGAGTCTTGGGGATCTGGATAATAAACTGTCAAATGGGAAGGTGCAGGATTGAATTAGGTAGGCTGATGAGTTTTGCCTTAGCATATTTGTCATGCTCCCCAAAGGCTTTTACTGTTCTTTGTTAAGCCTCAGATGTCCCTTAGTTAAATGGGTTCCATTTCTTTTTGTATAGTTTTCTGTTGGAGGGAACCTTAATTCAACCCTGTCCCTTTAAGAAACCCCCCTAAGAGGTAGAGATTGAAGTCCTCCTCTACAACCCCTTCACAGTTAGTCAGTCTAAAGGTGCCAAGGAGTCTAGAAGCTGCAATATCTTTCACATCTAATGTTAAGGAAATTCAGTCAAAGTTGAAGAAACCAAAGGTTGGAGACATTAAGTTTAAGACTTGGAGAAACAAGCTTTAAGTATTGAGGGACCAAGTCCATGGCTGAAAAAAAAGATACTTAACAGGAGATGTTAACAGAAGTTAGAACTAGACAAAGGACACAGAAAAGAGGCTAGAAAGATCTCTTAGGAAGAAATAAAGAGAAACCCAGTTAAGTTCTAAACTTCCATCTGTTCCTTCAAGTAATCGTTTGTTAGTCAGACACTGGGAGGAGTTAGGGTACTGATCTTCAATAAAATTAAATTATTTTTTGTTTACTGTTACACCTTTTGTTGTGAGTTTCCAACTGTGTTCTTGCCGAGAATAGGGCACCTGAGAGAGTTAGCTTGGGGGACAGAACAATAATCCCAGCACTTGGCAAATGATGACAACTTGAGAAGATATGCTCAAGAACCAGAACAAAAATTAATATAATACATAAATTTGATGGAACCTGTGGCCATGGTGGTCCACGCTCTTGTCACATCCCGGTTGGATTACTGCAACGCACTCTACGTGGGGTTGCCTTTGAAGACTGCTCGGAAACTTCAACTAGTCCAGCGAGAAGCAGCCAGATTGCTCACCGGAGTGGCGTACAGGGAGCATACCACCCCCCTGTTGCGTCAGCTCCACTGGCTGCCGATCCAATTCCGAGCACAATTCAAAGTGCTGGTTTTGACCTACAAAACCCTATACGGTTCCGGCCCAGTGTATTTGTCCGAACGGATCTCCCTCTACATCCCATCTCGAAGTTTAAGATCCTCTGGGGAGGCCCTGCTCTCGACCCCGCCACTGTCACAAGTGAGGCTGGCGGGGACGAGGAGCAGGGCCTTCTCAGTGGTGGCCCCCCACCTGTGGAACTCACTCCCCGGGGAGATTAGATCGGCAACTTCCCTTCTGGCGTTTAGGAAAAAACTGAAGACCTGGGTGTGGGACCAAGCCTTTGGTCATTCTGATAACTAAACTAAGGATCTGACGATAGACAAGGACAAATAGAATGGAATGAAATATGGACTCTGAACCCTGAGCATGAGTGTTTTAGCATGAGATTGTTTATTATTTTATTATGTATTGATGTTTTAATTAATTGTTGAATTGTTTTTTGCTTGTCAATTGATTTGGGCATCTAATTGTGCCTCCTCTGTAAGCCGCCCTGAGTCCCCCCCCCGGGGTGAGAAGGGCGGGGTATAAGTAAGTGAAATAAATAAATAAATAAATAAATAAGAATGGTGGAAGCAATTGGTTTAATGCTTATAAAGTTAAGTTGGTGCTAGACCTTTGATATGTTTGAATCATCTGAAATATTATTTATAATAGATATGTATTTGTTTTTACAGTTTTATAATATTGTGTTTTACTATTATTTTTATTGTCTGCATCTAGCACTGAATTATTGATATAGTTTGTAAGCTGCCCTGAGTCCCCCTTTGGAGGTGGCAAGGGCAGGGTATAAGTCTTGTCAATAAATAAATAAATATCAAAATCAACATTAACATTGTTTTACATATAATTTCAATCAGTGTTCAACAGCTCTCTCCTGATTTTTTTCATAAACACAATCTGCTTGATTTCCAGGAGCTGCTGTTGGAATATCACCTAGTTGTCTTGGTTTATTGCTGCCTGCCGTTGGTATCCTTGCTTCCTTGGGATTCTGAATGTAGCTGGATTTTACACATCCACAATTTAGTGCAAAGAACCTTTCGACCTGAGAGGATTTCCGTTCCTTTTTGATTCCTGTGGCACCAACCTAAGCCAAATAAATTACACTTTCAAGCAAATTATCCTCCCGACTTAACTACGGACTTCAAAGACTGAGGCATCCGGGAACTCCTTCATCAAGCAACTCAACTTTTGAAAGTTTGAGGAATGATTTTTAACTTGTTCCAATTATGCCTTATGAAACACTTGTGCTGATCTGCGACAGTTGCATGATTCAGTCCAATCGGGCAAGTTACAGTGTTAAAACCCAATAACATAGGCTGTACAGTAAAAGTAAAACCACCACACATAGGTGCTTTAACTTTAATAACAAATTGTGAAAACATAATAGAGATTGAAATGTTGATTGTATGTGGTATATGTAGGAGTAACTACGTCTGTCCGTACTATCCTATATGTTTTGTGTACTGCATATTTTTGAATGGCCCCTGTCATTTATGACATTCCAGATTTTTAGAGATACAGTCAAAGCAAACACATTGCTCCCATTTTTTTTTGCAGCTTTTCTTCTTGAAGTGACTAAATTGTGGGTTGAGAACACTGGAATCCAAGTTCATTCACAATGGCTCTTATTTCAGATGGGTTTGGAGCTGTTCTACAAATACTAACCGTAAAGGATTTTCCAGCACCTTAATTATAATGCCATAGAGTAATTCAAGATGTAATTTTACAAAATAATGCTAGTCAAGCCAAGTGTAATTTTTCTCAGTCACAGAGATGTTTGTTTTGCTGTAAAAAAATATTAATAGCTATATAAGCAAATTTATTTCAGATATGCAGGGTATCCAAGTATTATTGCCATATTTGAGTAATTCTACTTCAATCATAAAGTACAAGATTTAAATTCTAAGATTATAAATAGTCATTATAATGGCACAGTGAAATTTGAAAAATGATTCCACGTTAGGGTCAATTTAAAAATGGATAGAGTATTTAAAGTAGTGTGAATCGTCTATGGTAACAACAAATGGGTTATGCAGTAAAGAAGAAAGACAAATGTAGCACATAGCAAAAACTATCCTGAGTGTTATTTTTTTGTGACACATATATTGCCTTACTTTAGTGAAGGCCAACCATTAGGAGAATGATTTGCATTTTCCAATAAATTAATATTGTTCTACTTCCTAGAGCTGTAAATAAGAGTTGTAAAGTTCTAATATGATTTCTCCCTTTTTAAAAAACCCCCCAAAAGATAGAAAAGATGTTACTGAAATTCAGAAAGATCTCAACTGTTCTGCCTGCTTTTATGTTTTAGTTAAGCTTTCAACACTGGGATTCCCACAGGAGATACAGAATGTCTTTGTTCTGACTGTTTCTATGCTGTATTTAAAGTTATTAAAAAAAGAAATACCAATTTCTTTCGGATTCCATGGTGTGCTGGGAGTTTGGTGTGAATGTGAGGGTGGAAACGCACCACTCAATTGATATTGAATCAGATGACTTCAGTAATAGTGCAATGTCTGATGCTTCAAGAAGTATAAGCTTTTGAATCATTTTATTAGCACAGCCTTGCTAGCTGCTTTAGATATAGAACTGAACTTTTTAGGACTGATACTGTAGCCGCCCATGATAATACTGTCTTCGTGAAGCCAGAACAGACCTTGTCAATACTTTACACCCTTTCTTTGATTTGTATAATTTTTGTACTATAAATTTACATTTTAAAAGTCTAGATTTGTCATGAAAAATATCAAAAATACTGTTTTACTTTGATTTTGACTCTTTGTTACAAGTTGAAACTTTTTTAAACAGTAAGAGAAAATTATAATTTCCGTGTTGAAGAATGTCCAAAGCTATATGAGCACTACTGAGTTTCATAAATTCTGTACTACTTTGAAAGAAACGAAGATGTCTTCATGCAAGAGAAACTAATCCTTTGGAAACTGTTTTGATTTGGTTTAGGTTTTTATGCAGTGTAATTCATTTTTATATAACCTACAATACAACTAAAAAGAAATTTGCCAAAATGCATGACTGCCTTTAATTTTCTAACACATAATATAAGGAACAAGACCAGACCGTTTTTGCATGAAGACAATTTGGAAGGTCAAAGCACACTTATTTAATTTCATCTGCAACACAAAGTTTTCATCAGCCATACTAATCAGCTAATCCCTGGGTTACATTGTTGCACACGATTGCTCAAATTTTATTGGGGTATTCACTCCTCAACAGTTGTCAGCACAACTAAATATACATTGTATCATCTGCTTTACAATGCAAGGTTCTTAATTAAAGTTTCTATAGATAGACAAATTGGTTGTTTCTTTGTATTCCAGGTAATATTGAACTTAGCATTATTTGATACTGGTGAATTTTGGATTTTTAAGTTACTTTTTATTATTATTTTTCCTATTGAGTAGACCAGGACCACGCTTTGTCCAATTTATGGTTGAAAAATAAATTATAATGAAATAAATGTATTAATGGTACTTCACATGTAACAATTGTCACTTGACTTTCCAGGGGGTTGAGTAGATTTTTTGTGTGGCTATGAGAGAGACAGATATGCAAAGAACCACATCCATGGAGACAAATTGTCCTCCAGAAGCTTGTAATTTATGGGGTAACAGATGTTTTCTCTTTGACAATGCAAGCTCCCCATTTTAGATGCTGATAAATACATTTTTCCTTTTTCTTTTTAAATATATGAATTGATTAATGTTGTAGTTAAGAAAAAAATCTTATTTTCAGTAGGAAGTTGAAAATTACATCTTAAAGCAACCTCATAGATGAGAAGCGAAAGATTATGGTGATGCAAAACACAATAATTTGCAAGTTAACTAAAGATATCAAAATGTGACTTGTAATCTGACTTTGGTTGTTATGGGTTTCACCTAGAGTTTTCATTTTCATGACTGTGCTTGGCAGCCTCTGTTTTGCAATGTTTTGATAGCTGCCCTCAATGTTCTTCTAGATGGATTTTGTTTTCTGTGAAACAAACATAGTCAAATTTAATTAGCTGAGTATTGCCATGACTAGCTGAGCATCTTGAGCTCTATTTGAGTGTTGTCTGCCTGATCTAAGAGGATAAAACTTTCTAAGTCCTCAGAGTTATGACACTAATCTCTGGAAAATTTGAAGGAGAAGATTCATTCTGGGCAACTGTGGTTTGAGTTAAAGTGGGTGGATAGAGTGAAGGGAATAAGGACATTAGAGAAGAGAGCAGGCGGATCAGTGGAAGAAGGAATATTCTGCAAGGAGATTATTCAGTCTGAATGGGTGGTAGAAAATTCATACTTAAGAGAGAAGTAAAACTACTCTGAATCTGCTGTTGTACAATAGCTTTATTAGAATCGATCAAGATGCTACCATAAAGCATGAATCTCTCCGTTCTCTGAAAACATTATTTGCCTAGGTGGTACAAAAAAGGAGGATGGGGAACAAAGCAGAAAAATGCAAATTTTAGGTTGGATGTTGTGGATATGAGACGAGAGATAACTTTACATAATTTTTAGAGAGTCCACAAGAAAGTTAAGAGGATACAGATGGTGGGGATGGGGTGGAATAATTGGATGAAATCTTCATTGGTTTTTGGTCCAAGGAGGAGATTTCCTTATTCTGCAAAGAGAAGTGCTAATGAACTTAGCAAATTGAAGGGGGAAGATGGAGTAACGGAAAAGAACATGTCCTTATTTGCTGCCTTGAGTGTCTTGTAAGCTCTGATTTTCTTCAGTAATCATTCACAATCAAGTATGTAATTCTGTCTTGAGCAGAACATGTGAGATGTCTTTCTGAAGTACAGAATCCTGGGTTATAAATGTCATTTCCTAATTGGTTCTATCATAATCATAGAAAAAGTTTATTGAACTGCAAAAACTTTGTTTTTGTGGGACATCCCACAGCACATTTTGCTACAGATTTTCAATGAATATCTCAGAGTCTCAACCAATTCATCATAGTTTGTGGAAGCCACAAAAATGAAGTTTCTGAAGTACTTTTAATAGCTACTTTCAAAGTAAGTGCTGCACAGTTAAACAGGAAACAACGCTTTCAAACCAGGAACAAGAAAAATTCAAATTGTGTTACCTAGTGTTATTGGCAAGGGTTCACAAGATGCAACATAGGAAACTGCCCTATAACAGCTTCACCACACCATGTTTCCTGCAGGTGTTTACATATACAGTTTTGCTTGTTGCTTCCCCAAAACTTGTTCTTTCCAATTGAGTCTGTCTTACCATGACATTGTAGGATTCTAGAAATTGTCATTTTATTAGCTGCTGTCAAGACACTTCCAACTTATGGCAACACCATGAATGAGAGTCCTCCAACCACATGATCCTGCTTAAGTCTTTCAGACTCAGAACCCTAGCTTCCTTGATTGATTCTATCCATCTGGAATGTGGTCTTCCTCTTTGTCTTTTTTCTTTTTGCTGCCCTCCTACTGACCAAACATTTCTCATGAGTCATGTCTTCTCATGATCTATATTCAAGAAGACACTGAAACAATGAAGGCTGCTGCATTTCAGTACCCCCAAATTAAAGACAAACATTTTTAGAGTTTTGATTTTGAGCTCAGCTACAGTTTCAAATCAACATGAAAGAGGAAAATCTAGTGCAACTCTCCCATTTCACAGCAAACATTTGCATTCATTTTGGTTCTACAATTCATTGCCCAGAGTTATTGCTGTGGTCCTCTCTTTTTTAACTTCCTCATCAAAGCTGCAGTCATAAATTGGTGGTGATGGATAGTCCTCACATAAGAGATTGTCTGGGATGTTGAAGAAAAGATACAGGAGGCCATAGAATAGAAAATTTGATGTTCATCATAAAGCTTCCCAAGGGTTCCAGCTTATTGTTCACAGACACAACAACTACAACATGACTGATGAAAAACATTCAAAGAACAACTGATACAGGTATGTAACTCTGATTTCTAATAATTATGAGTTCATTGTTAATATTGAGGTGAATATTTATACAAATTGGTGTGTTGTACTGGCTTGAGTGTTGGAGTAGGACTCTGGGAGGCCAGGGTTCAATTTTAACTCTGCCACAGAAACCCATGTGGGCAAGTTATGATTGCTCAGCCTCAAAGGAAGGCAATGACTACCTCTAAACAAATCTCACCAAGAAATAAAGATACAAACAATGTTAAAACTTATGAGGAATTAAAACAAAAAATTTTCTAATATTACTTGGTTACATTATATGCAAATTAAAGAATATTACAATCAAGATAAAAAATTGGCTTCTCTTGGGAGGAAACAGCATGGGATAAAATTTTAAAATTAGAAAAGAAAGTAATATCGAATATTTATAACATATTACTTACCTGGCTGACTGAAAAAGAACAGGTTAAAAACTGTATGATAAAGTGGGCTCAAAATTTAAGAAGACCAATTCAAATGAGGGAGTGGGAACAGATGTGGAACAAAAAATTAAAATATACATACGCAATGGATTTAAAAGAAAATTGGATAAAAATGTTCCACAGATGGTATATCACACTGAAACAATTGGCTAAAATGTATAAAACAGTTTCTGATAAGTGTTGGAAATACCTGGAACAGGTTGGCTCCTTCTACCATATGTGGTGGACTTGCAAAGAAGCAGTAAAGTTTTGGAGGGTAATTCATGAAGAGACACAAAATATTTTAAAAAGAACATTCATAAGAAAACCGGAGTATTATTTGTTAGGTTTTACAGATTTAGATCTACAACTGACGGAACAAGAGGATAAACTTTTTACATATATGACGACTGCCGCTAGAATTGTTTTTGCTAGAGAATGGAAGAAAGACTCAGTACCACCCGTACAGGAATGGGTGGAAAAAATCAGAGAAATAAAGGACATGGATGAATTGACTTTTTTGTTGAAGAAAAATACAGGTATGATACTAAGAAGAACGAATTGGGATAATCTCCATGAATATCTGGACAATTTGGGAAAATAAGAAACAAGAGAGACAATTTCTTTTTGAACTTATTTTATATTTTTGAATAATAAGAAGATATGATCCAAGAAGATGGAATGGAAGTCTTTTGTTTGTTTGTTTTTCTTTTTGTGTTTTTTGTGTATTTTTGTAGAATTTTTTTAAAGGGGTTATTTGTGATTTTAGTTTCTTCTTTTTTCTCTTTTTTTCTTTATTTCCTCACTTTCCTATACTTTATTGTTCTCACTCTTTCGTTGTAATCTATATAAAAATTAATAAAATTCTAATTAAAAAAAAGAAATCCCCATGATTGCCTCAAGATCAACATAAGTCAGAAACTATTTGAAGGCACACAATAACACAAATTGCATAATTAGGGCTTCCTTCCATTCTTCCTGATAGCCTCCCATCAGTTCTGCTTTTCAAGTAAAAAGGGTCCTCAAAGTAGTTTGTGAAGGTTAATAGTAAGAATGTTCCTGCCATCAAGGTTGCTATTAAAAAGACATGGGAGAAATGAAATGAAGTCATATATCTTAGCTGCAACATTTGAAATAATGTTCTTTTTGTAAAAAAAAATGTATTTCACCTGCTCCTTTCCTTCATGATGGACTTCATGGAAAGCAGAAACATGGCTGCTTGTGTCCCTAATATAGGAGGAACTTCTAATTTCTTTTGAAACCCTTTTGCATAGGATCCAAATATGTTGCAAGGTCTTCAATATAGCTACTTAAGTTACACTGCAAAAGCTAGGTCTATCAAGGCCAAAGTTCTGCCATTTCTACCTTCAAAGTCAAAGCTAATTTATTTTTGGCAACCACTGGATCAGCTCCAAGGAAGCTGGAGGAATGCATTTGCAGAAAATGGATTCATTGTATAACCCTCTGAAAGTCTGCATCATGTTTGTAATTGGAAATACACCTGAGCAAATGGATTAGAAGCTGAAATATCATGAAAAGTAGGTTATACATTTTTCTGTGTGTTGTTTTTGATTTAAATTTTCAAATAATGTATGTCTGGCTCATTGCATTGGTCTAGCAAGCAACAGAAAGCTTACTAAAATCTTTTTTGCTTAGGCATCAGAAGGGATGATTTCCATAAAATGCTCCACTCCAAAATCTTCTGGTCCTGCAATGTATTGTCACAGTTGTGCCTTTCCTCTTTGAAAGGAACAGGGAGAAAGGTCGACCAGACACTGAAAGTTCTCCAGGGTGATCTTCCCTAGGCTGGAGGCAGTGAAGAATCAAGCCAATGTATCTTCTTGATTTGACAGCTCAAATAGACCTTGCACAAAGGTTCAGAATAGCCAGCATGATTCTGTCAGAAAGAACTAACATCTCAAAAGATGGGTTGTCTCAAAATCTAAATTATGATGTCTTATGA